AATCACAGAGCAACTGACCAAGGGCTTGGCAGATGGGGACTTCAGGGCTTCTGAGCAGGGTGCTTCCTGATCTGCAGCTGACCGACACCTGGAGGGAATTCGTGGAAAAAATAAATAGAAGCACTTATATATGGGGGGACAGAGAGATAGAAAGAGATCTTCGATATGTTGGTTCACTGTGGGAAGTAAGCCCACCTGAGACCACCGACCTACTAAAGATTAGATTCAGAAGCATAAAGGAAGCGGAAAGCGAGGTGTCTGTTGATACCTGGTACTGGGAGCAGTGAGCAGGGGGTGGAAGCAGGCACCGCCCTCAGAAATCCAGCTCCTTTTATCCCCGCCATGCAGAAGTCCCCTCCCCCACTCCTCACCGAAACTTGGGAGGTGCCATCTACACCTGAGAGGCTACCTAAGGCAGAGTGAAGGAGGGGTAATGGCCGATTTAGGACAGGGGAAGGGGAGTTACACCGCGGGATCATCAGCGCACCAGGAACTCAGAGGCAAGAGCACTGTGTACCAGACATCTGGTTGTTAGAGATTACAGAATTGCTGAAGGTTACAAAGATAACAAGTGGTGCACAGTTTGCCAAGCTGGCTCAACAGTCAACCTGCTGTGAGGTTCTCGCAGCTGCCTATCCGCATGCTGCTGACGCCTACTATCACGCCTGCAATTGGCTGTCTTTTATGCAAACACACCACGACCACTTCTGACATTCACTTCCCAAATGCTCACAACAGCCACGGCTGGGCCAGGCCAAAGCCAGGAGCCAGAAATTTCACCTGGATCACCCAGGCGGATGTGGTAGGAACCCAAGCACTTGGGCCATCACCTGCTGTCTCTTAGGGTGCATTAGCAGGAAACCAGAAGCAGAAGCAGAGGCGAGACTCAGTTCCAGGTGATCCGATACGGGATGTGAGAGCCCCAAACGAGGCTTAACCTACGATACCGCGCTGTCTGCCACCTTGCTGGGTGTTTTATCTACAACTGATTAAAATATCCAAACCAATAACAGAAAATTGTAATTCAAGTGGTTTGAAACGCGGGAATTTTCTTGCCCTAAATTCCAAGGCAAAACTCTCAGGGCAGGGCACGAGCGAAGGGCTGGGCACGCGCCTGCCTTGCTCCACCGTGGTGCACTTTCTCCACCCCTCACTGAGTGCTTTCTCAGCTCACTCTAGACGAGTCAGACACAGCATTGCCGACAGTTCTTCTCCTTGACCCAAATCGAAGCTGTTCTGAGTTTCTCTTTACAATGAGTGTTTTGTGCAGCATGACTGGACAGAGTCCAGATTCCAGTATTTATGGCCAGTCCAGTGTGCAACTGGCAGGGGCCCCCATTCTTCTAGTTCACTCACGAAATCTGCATCAACACTCCCCTCTACACATTGATAAATAAAGGGGACACACAAAGCACCTGCCCTCTCCTGCCCTACCCCCACGACCGTACACTCCGAGGCAAGAGCACACAGGTTTCGGAAGTCAGAGTTAACTCCAGGCCCCGTGGAGGTGAAGCAGAGCCATCTCTGAGTCTCTTGTGTGAGTTTCTTTTGAGGCTGGGTCTCTGTGAGGTCATGTGAGAGTGTGGACAAGGATCAGTCACTGATCCACCAAGTATTTACTAATCACCAGCTCTGCAGAGCCCAGGTGAACAGGACAGCTACGGTAGCCTCGATCGCCGAGCACAGAAGCCAAGTGAGGGTGAGACAGGGCGCAGGGCAGGGCTAAGTGGGAGAACTGAACGAAGCAATCCCACAACTCCGGGCCTCCGTTTCTCCTTTCTTACATCTCTGCCTCTGTCGAGCTTGAGGCAGGAGGCAGAGAAGGCCAACTGGAGGAGTCGAGGCATGAGATGGCCATGGACTAAGTGCAGAAACGGAACAGAGACTCCCTGTTTAAACAGGTAGGACAGGAAGCCGGCACACCCCATAGCTCGCAGCGTTCTAATTCCTCGACTGATAAATTGTCAGAAACCGCCAGTTTGGAGAAATCTTCACTTAGAAGTTAACATACAGGAACAATAATCTTCACTCAAAAGCGGTGTATACAGAGGTGACAATGGCCAGGGCACCTGCATAGGTAGAGAATCTCCATACCTCATTAAGGGTCTTTCACCCAGTGCCTAACCACCCCTATAAAAGAGAAGCCATTAACACTTAGGGACCTCAGACAGGGTCAGATCTGCTGGCCTGCTCCTGCTGTCTGAAGGAGGGAACTTCTTTCCTATGATAAGCTTTTGCTATTGCACTTGCTATTTGTCTGAGTCTCATCCAATTTATTGCTTGAGGTTCAAAAAGACCTGATCGATGGTTTCACACTTGCAGCTCTGACAACAGCGGAATAGACCGCAAACACTGAACAAAGGAAACAGCTCATGACAAACCGTATTAAATGCTATAAAGAAAAAAAAGTAACAGAGTGCTTCTCTAAAGAATAAAAGGGGAGGGCTGCCTGAAACAGGATGGTGGTTAAAGAAGGCGAGGTGACATTTCAGGCTAAAACTAAGAGAAGAGAAAGAGCCACACCTGGTCAGAGAGAAGCTTCAAGAAGAGGGAGGAAGATAAACAAGCTTGGGATAGGAACACTCATGTCCCAGGAAGGGCACGAAGCCTGGGCGCTGGAGCTTAGCGAGTGCAGGGGCAGCGCATTGTGTCCGACCTTCAATCCCACTGTCTACAAAAGGAACTTGCAGCACAGCTCCACGGAGGAAAACAGATAGAACAGGGAGTGGGGGACAGAGTTCTGGAACAGTGAGTGACGCGGCCGCCTGGGATGCCGGCATCCCATACCAGAGCGAGGCTTTGTATCCCAGCTGCTGCACTTCCACCCAGCTCCTTGCTAATGCACTGGGGGAGGCAGGGGAACGTGGCCCTGCACCCACATAGGAGACCTGGGTGAGTTCTAGGCTCCTGGCTTCAGCCTGGCCCAGCCCTGGCTATTGGGGCCATTTGGGGAATGAACTGGCAGATGGAAGATCAGAGTTACAGAGAGAGAGGAAGAGAGAGAGAGCGAGCTCTTGCATCTTCTGGTTCACTCCCCAGATGGTTGCCATGGTCAGGACTGGACCAGGCCAAAGCCTGGAGCCAGGAGGGTCATCTGGCCTTCCACATGCGAGGCAGGCACCCAAGCACTTGGGCCATCTTCAGCTGCTTTCTCAGGCACATTAGCAGGGAGCTGGATAGGAAGTGGAGCCCAAATGGGATTCCAGCATCACAGGTAGCAGCTCTGCTTACCTCACCACAACGCTGGGCCCTGGGAGAAGGGCTCTTAATGAGAATGGGGTTTCCCTACATGAAGTGCAAGCCATCCGGCTGTTACCATGTCTACACATACAGCTTTTAAGTGAACGTTCTCACACCTATACCTTAGCTTTTATTTTTTTTTTTTTTTGAAAAAATGATTTATTTATATGAAAGGCACTGTTACAGAGAGGGAAAGAGAGGCAGAGAGGGAGCGAGAGAGAACCCGGGGTGCCAGCGCCGCAGGTGGAGGATTAGCCAAGTGAGCCATGGCGCCGGCCTACTTTAGCTTTTAAGAGAAGATTTTTACAAACCTCAGTTTTTCTGACAGGGAATTTATCCATCAAGGAATGTGAGCTATGGGCTTGGTTGGCTCCTGTCTTATCAGTTTAAACTGGGGTTTCTTTTTCTCAGTTTCTCCAGTAGTCTTTATCCATCTCTTGCCCTGTCTTCTCCAGTTAGCCTCTCTCTGCCTCCTGCCTCCTGCCTCCTGCCTCCAGGCTGAGATGGACAGAGATACAGGGAAGCAGACGCAGTTGCTGTCGGAGAGTTTTGGAATCTGCTTTTCTCAGCTTTCCCAGTTCACCCTGCACCATCTCCTTGCTCAGCCCCATGAATCAAGTTTTCTCCAGGAACACTCTTAGCATGGGGTAGCTGAGTAGGTCTCACGAACACCAGTCTTAGACATTCACGTCTGTCTGGGAGGCGGCAGCAAGAGTGCAGTGGTGGCTCATCTCTGTGTCTCGGAGTCCTGGAGGGGCACAGGTGAGAGCTGAAGAAGCCTGCCTCAATTTGCCTTTTTAAAAGCCGAAGTTTATTTTTAACTTTTTTCCAAAGGCAGAGAGAGAGGAAGGGGGCAGAGAGAGAGATAATCCATTTGCTGGTTCACTCTCCAAATGGCTGCAGTGCAATGGCCAGAGCCAGGAGCCAGGAGCTTCATCTGGTCTCCCGTATTGGTGCAGGGTCCAAACAACTGGGCCATTCTCGGCTGCTTTCCCAGATTCATTAGCAGGGAGCTGGATTGGAAGTAGAGCAGTCGGGACTTGAACTGCTGCCAATGTGGGATTGTGGCGCTCCAAGTAGTGGCTTAACCCACTGTGCCACAGCGCTGGCACCAAACTTTCTCGTAGGAAACTTTTGCCATTACACTTCCTGTTTGAGCCTTGTCCAATTCATTGTTCAAGATTCAAAAGAACGCCCATGCTTTCCTACTTGTGACTTCAACCCCAAGATTATGTGTGGGTCCTCTTTTGTGGCCCTATCCCTTACACACACAGCACTAAAACAAGTGACCGCTGTGAGCAGTCTTGGAAAATCATGACTGCTGGGCATAGACGAAGCAGGCGATGAGGGCAACCATGAAGAGACTCCCAGAAGGACCAGCATGCTCTGACCTGATGCTTCTCAAACCTCAGAGAACGCTTGAGCAACGTGTTCAACAGCCCCAGAGCTTCTGGGACCACGGGCTCTCCAGAATCCTCCCCAGATCAGACAAGGCCGATGCTGTGCGCCTGGAGACTGTACTTTGGGAACCAGTGGTCTACATCCTGGAGACTGGCAAAAATTTAAACTGGAAGAGCTGGAGAAACAGGTCATGGCCACCTAGGAGGCTCCTTCTGGCAGACTGAGTCATCCCTAGCAAGTCACTCCCCTGTGCCCTGCAACACCCAGTTATCTGCAGAGAGAGAAACAACGCAGCTCCTACACACCCAGCCTCTCCTTCCCACATTCTCACCTCATGACTCATCACACACAGGCAAACATAAAGAGAACACTGCTCCAGTTCCCTATTCAGAGTCAAATGAATAAAAGCTGGAAGGTTTGTTACAGAAAAATAACACCTGCTTAAGGAATCCAGGGACTGACTGCAGGGAGAAGGCAACAGAAAGCCTTCAGGTAAGGAAGGAATCTGCCACTATGGTAGCTTTTTTTATTTTTTCCTTTTGACAGGCAGAGTTAGACAGTGAAAGAGAGACAGAGAGAGGGTTATAGACAGTGAGAGAGAGAGAGACAGAGAGAAAGGTCTTCCCTCCGTTGGTTCACCCCCCAAATGGCTGCCATGGCCAGTGCGCTGCACCGATCCGAAGCCAGGAGCCAGGTGCTTCCTCCTGGTCTCCCATGCGGGTGCAGGGCACAAGCACTTGGGCCATCCTCCACTGCCTTCCCAGGCCTCAGAAGAGAGATGGACTGGAAGAGGAGCAACTGGGACAGAATCCGATGCCCCAACCGGGACTAGAACCCGGTGTGCCGGCGCTGCAAGGCGGAGGATTAGCCTAGTGAGCTGCGGCGCCGGCTACCACTATGGTAGTTTTAACTGACACCACTGGCTGGTCTAGAACTGACACCTTTCAGTTGAGTTCCCTGCATCGCCACTGTTGTCTAGAGCCGCAGCTCCAGTCACAGGGCAATGGAGTAAGTCTTTATCCCATGGTTTGAACAAAGCAGCCGACCACAAATCAACCTGTGGGCAAGCACCCAGGAAGTAGCTGGCAAATACAGGAAGTAGCCTGCAGATACAAATACCTACAGTGATTCAGGCACAAGACCTGAGAATTCTCTTACGACAGGTGTCAGGGGCCAGTGTTGTGGCATAGCAGGTTAAGCCACTGCCTGAGGTGCCAGCATCCTATATGGTTGCCCGGTCAAGTCCCAGCTGCTTCACTTTAAACCCAGCTCCTTGCGAATGTGCCTGGGAAAGCAGCAGAAGATGGCCCAAGTGCTTGGGTCCCTGCACCCACACGGGAGACCTGGAGGGAGCTCCTGGCTCTTGGCCCCAGATCAGCCCAGCTCCAGCCATTGCAGCCATTTGGGGAGTAAACCAATGGATGGAAAATCTTTCTTCCCTTGTTCCCCCATCCCATAACTTGGCCTTTCAAATAAAGAAAAATCTTAAAAAAAAAAAAGTCCACAGATTTTCTGATTTACAAATTCCCCATCCAGCTTCTGGTGTGAGAAATTGCTCAGGACTTCAAAACAGATCTGCTGCAGAGTGCAGGTGCTGGTGCTTCGCAGATGTGTGTGGCCTCTCTGGTCGGCCTTGTTGAAGAAAGCAACCTGTGTGCCATCCGTGCCAACTGTGTAACAATGGGAGAAGAGAACGTGTGTGAGACTCCACCGTGATATATACGCTGTGCAGTACTGAGCTGTTTTAAAAAATGAAATCTTGTCTGTTACAACAAGAGGGACACAACTGGAAACCATTCTACTCGGTGCAATAAGGCAGTTCCAGAAAGACAGATATCATGTTTTCCCTGATCCAAGGTAACGAACAGAGTACCTAAAATGCAATGTATTGGTGTGAAATGCACATGTTGAGATCAGATGATTGTTTAGAGACCTTGTCTCTTCAGTTGAGGAACAGTGTTTTGGGTTTTGTCGTTGTTGTTGTTGAAGATTTATTTATTTGAAAGTCAAGTTACACACAGAGAGACGACGGAGAGGCAGAGAGAGAGAGAGGTCTTCCAGCCGCTGGTTCACTCCCCAAATGGCCGCAAAAGCCAGAGCTGTGCCAATCCAAAGCCAGGAACCAGGAGCTAGGAGCCTCTTCCAGGTCTCCCATGTGGGTGCAGGGGCCCAAGGACTTGGACCATCTTCTACTGCTTTCCCAGGCCATAGCAGAGAGCTGGATAGGAAGTGGAGCAGCCGGGACTTGAACTGGTGCCCATATGGGATGCTGGCTCTGTAGCCGGAGGCCTCACCCGCTAAGACACAGCATCGGCCCCCAGTGTTTTTTCCTTCGTACTGCTTAACTCTTTTACTTAGTGTGGGGTTAACTTTGATCATTAAGTAAACTGAAAATAGGTTTTTGTAAAAATTAAGACTGGGAATGGGAGAGGGAGGAGGAGGACGGGTTGGAGCATGAGCATGAGGGAGGGAAGGGTGGGAAACATCACTATGTTCCTAAATCTGTTTATGTGAAACACATGAAACTTGTATAATTTAAATTAAAAAAAAATTCCATGGGACACAACTCATTCTCAAAAGAAATTATTTTTCTCTTGTTCCTGTTATCGGCAGCTCTGAACATTAGATATTTTTCCCCATGGGGTCAAAAGGTTCCTAACTACATGACTGCACGTGAAAAATAGGGGGCAGAAATCAGGTACTGGAAATTTTTTCATTTAACCTATGTGTGGATTTTTAATATACATGCAAGGACACAAAGCAATCACACAAGTCAAAATGTTTCAGTAAACAAATTTCAGTGTTCAGTTTTCTAACAGTTATAAATAAATCTGTAAAATTTGTCTGCACAAGGCCAGCATTTGGATTTTTTTAAGTAAACTTTTCTTGTTTTTTTTTTTGATATTTTTATTTATTTATTTGAGAGGGAGAGACAGAGAGAAAGGTCCTTCATCCACTGGTTCAATCCCCCAAATGGCCACAATGACCACAGCTGGCCCAGACTGAAACCAGGAACCAGGAGCCAGGAGCTAGGAGATTCTTCCAGGTCTCCCACGTGGGTGTAGGGACCCAAGTACTTGTGCCATCTTCCACTGCTTTCCCAGGTGCATTAGCAGGGAGCTGGATCAGTAGTGGAATAGCTGGAAATCAAACCAGTGCCCAATGGGATGCCAACACTCCAAGTGGCTTTACCTGCCACACCACAAGACTGCTGGTCTCTGAATACAGCCATATCCTTGCATCAACTGTTGTCTCAGGTGAATTGGACATCCAGTGGAGATGTCCATCCTGACATCAGGATGAGCATCAGCCTCAAGAATCTCAAATCCTCTGAATCAATGGCTGGAGGCAAGCTGTTCAGTGAACAAGACTTAGATGTCATCCTTAGGGCTGTAGGCTTCCAGAACTCTGAATTCTTATGCCCTGTTCACGCAAGGATGGATGGATTTCTAAAATGTTTCAACCAATCCACCTTCCTTGGACATCACTAATGCCATCAACTAAAAACACACTTAGAATATTCACTGCACTAATTCGTAAAGCTGCTGGGGTCACTCAGAAGTACTGGTAAGCCAAGCTCTGTAGCGGCGATCCTAGATTATGAGCTTTGAGATCTCAGTGTCAGAGAAAATCCTCTGGTACTGCACTGCCCTACAAAATACCTGCCTGATATCACACCTTTTAGGCCAATTTGTTTGTAGGGTAATTTTCTTGTAATGGAGAAAATGATATTGAAAAACTGGATTTTGCCAAGTTGAAGATGGACAGTATGTTCCTAGATTCACTATAAGGCAGGACACATGCTGACAGCTCAGCATGTCACTGGTAACTGGAGGAGTTTGAACGACTCACCCAGGTGTTGAAGTCCTGACACCCAGTGAGATGGGATTAGCAGTTGAGATCTGGGGAATAATTAGCTCACGAGGGTTGGCCCTCAGGACTGGGATTAGTGTCCTCGGCACAGGGACCTCAAAGAGCTCTTTGGCCCTCATTCCACCATGGTACCATACAATGAGAAGTCAGCGACCTGTGAGACTGTTCTCACCAGATCCTAACCATGTGCATATCTTGATTTCAGGCTTACAGCCTCCAGTACAGTTAGAAATAGATTTCTACTGTTTCCAAGTTGCTTGGTCCATGACATTTTATTAAAGCAGCCCAAACCCACCAAGACTACAGCCTAGCAATGGCACGGAAAACAGACTCTTGCAATCTTTCTCCTTCCTTGGAACCAGCACTGTGGTTCAGTTTAGTCCGCTGGGGCCATATCCGGAATGAACCAGTGGATGGAAGAGCTCTGTCTCTCCCTCTTTGTAACTCTGCCTTTCAAATTAATTAATTATTTTTAAGAATGGCTATCACAAAGTCTAAAGGGAAAGTCCACTTCCCAGGGAAGAGAGAATTCTCTTGTGTGCCTGCATGTGTTACGTGACAGGGGTCCTCAGACCCTAGAGATAGGAGAGCAAACAGACTATCTTGAAGCTCACCTTTGCCTCTGATCAAAATTCTGTTTCACAGCCTCTTGCCTGCATGTTTATGCTCGTGGAACAGGATGTGGCATTAAACACTGAGGGCCCAGATGTGCCCTGCTTCCAACCAGCCTAACCACAAAAATACCATCCAAAAACTTTTTTTTGTGAGGACCTTGCAAAAAGCAAAGACCAAAAAAGGGTATCACAAGTCCTCTCCCAAGCAGCAACAGCCAGAGTGCAAAAACCCAGTCAGCTTCGGGCCCAAGCACCTGTGGAAACCAACCCCCAGGAGCACCGTGGACACCCCTTGACTGGAAGCCCCCGATAGCGGGGTCCTTCCACCAGTCCCACCTGCTGCTGGGGGCTTTTTTACTGCCTGATTGTCTCTGGTCTCATCTGTCTTCTTCTTGCAGACACCAACCTGGATCCAATCCACGAGATTCCCACAGTGCAGGTAGATTTCCTAAAGGAACTGTCTAGGAGTGTTTGAAATAGACACAGATCCTTCTCGGGCCAGATCGGGTCTTGCATTTTCCATGTACCCCAAGTATTACCAGAACCTTCACTGAATCCAGAAAATGTTGATACATCTTCTGTGTCATTTACACATTCATCAAGAGCTTGTTTGAGAAACTCAAGTTCAGACTTAATTTTTCATTCATTAAGGACTTTTTAAAAGAGCTTGCCCTTGGGGCTGGCATTGTGGTATAGTGGGTTAAGCCTTCACCTACAGCACCAGCATCCCATATGTGTGCCAGCTGCTCCACTTCTGATCCAGCTCCCTGCTGAAGCACCTGAGAACGCAGTAGAAGATGGCCCTGTATTTGGGCCCCTGCACCCATGTGGGAGACCTGGAAGAAGCTCTTGTCTTCAGCCTGGCCCAGCCCAGGCCCTTGTAGCCTTTTGGGGAGTGAACCAACAGATGCATGATCTTTCTGTCTCTCTCTCTCTGTAACTCTCCCTTTCAAATAAATAAATGGCATCTTAAAAAACAATAGGGGGCTGGTGCTGGGGCACAGTGGGTAAAGCTGCCGCCTGCAGTGCCGGCATTCCATATGGGCCCTGGTTCAAGTCCCAGCTGCTCCAGTTCAGATCTGGCTCTCTGCTATGGCCTAGGAAACAACAGAAGATGGCCCAAGTCCTTGTGCCCCTGCACCCACACGTGAGACCCAGAAGAAGCTCCTGGCTTCCTGGCTTTGGATCGGTGCAGCTCTGGCTGTTGCAGCCATCTGGGGAGTGAATCAGCAGATGGAAGACCTCTGTCTCTGTGCCTGTGTTTATGTGTCTCTTTAACTCTGCCTTTCAAATAAATAAATAAATGTTTAAAAAAATAGCTTGCACTTAGAGTATGGTAAAAAAAAATTAACCTAATACATAAATGGTTGTAGGTTTACACAATAAATATGAGGGACCTCCAAGAAGTTTGTGGGAAAATGAATTAAAGGTTTGTTTGGGGGCTGGCGCGGTGGCACAGTAGGTTAATACTCCGCCTGCAGTGCAGGCATCCCATGTGGGCACTGGTTCTAGTCCCGGCTGCTCCTCTTCCAATCCAGCTCTCTGTTATGGCCTGAGAAAGCAGTAGAAGATGGCTCAAGTCCTTGGGACCCTGCACCCATGTGGGAGACTCTAAGAAGCTCCTGGTTCTTGGCACAGGATTGGCACAGCGCCAGCCGTAGCAGCCATTTGGAGAGTGAACCAATGGAAGAAGACCTTTCTGTCTCTCCCTCTCACTGTTTATAACTCTCTCTAGTAAAATAAAATATTTATAAAAAAGATTTGATAATTATTTTTATTTATTTGAAATGCAGGTTCATTCTGCGAATGTCCACAGCAGCTGTGGCTGGGCCAGGCTGAAGCTTGAAGTTTGAACTCAACCCAGGTCTCCCACATGGGTGGCAGGAACTCAGTTACTGGAGCTATCATTAATGCCTCCCAAGGAGCTAGAATTGGGAGTGGAACCGGGACTTGAACCCAGGCACTCCGATATAGGATGTGATACACCAGGGTCTTAACCACTAAGCCAAGTATTTGCCACCAAGTTTTATTTTGATGAAAAAAAATTTCAAAACCATGCATATGAAGGGTCTTCAGAAAATTCATGGAAAATATGTATTGTGAAAAGAACTGTGCATAGATTTCAAAAATTATTTACACCAAAGATAAACTTGTTTTAATTCTACTCTCCAAGAACTTAGAAAGCGGTTATTTATGTGAGAGAGAGAGAGATCGATTTACCATCTTAGGTTCCCTCCCCAGACACCTGCAACACATACAGCTGGGCCAGGAGCTCCATCTGGATTGTCCGCCTGAGCAGCAGGGACCCCAGTACTTGAGTCATCACCTGCTACCTCCCAGGTGTACATCTGCAAGAAGCAGGATGTGGATCGACTAACCAGGACTGAAACATGCATTTCAACATGGATGTATGCATTCTAAGTGGTTACTCCACTGCAGGGCCCCACACCTACACGTCCATGAACTTTTCCCATGAGGCACCCTTGTATGTGTTTATATAACCTACAATGAAACTACTAACCTTTTATGTTCCATTGTTCTGCATACAGAACACCTATAAAGACTCAAATTGAGTTATAAATATACTTGTGGTGACTTGGAATTCAATATTCTCTCACTGAAATAGTCACATAGTTGAAAACTTGGGACTTAAGGGGTTAAAGCAGGAGTGTCCAGACCCTCCTCCACGTATCAAGGTCAGACTGCTCAGTCCTCTCCACTTACATTTAACCAACCCCTGACCAGGTAGCCTGCGGCTTTGTGCAGCTCCTTAGTGAGTGCGCTGGCAGGTAATCAGTGCATCAGCGTCTAGTACCTGTCCCTCCATCGCTTTAGACCTCAGGGAGCCCGTCATCCGCAGCAGTCAGGGCTGGATGCACTGCGTGCAACTGCGGTCCTCGAGGCGGGAGGCGTGGCTTGGGGGACGCCTGGCAAGCGCTGTGAAAAGGCAGGCAGATGGTGCTTCCCATTTATATGAGCGCTCTGCTCACAGCACAGCTGCTCTGAGACCACAGCAGAGGGCCAAGTGCAACGTGCTGGGCTACCAAGCTCATCCCAGCCGACCTTAATAAAACCGTTAAGGACAACACCGCTTAAATGTGGGGCAAGGGTGAGATGTGACTCCCCAAAGCCAAGTTGTGGGGCCCTGCAGATTTAAGGGACCCCAGAGGAACTGTATTCCCGAGACCTCTTAGGGAGGTCCTGCCAGGGCTCCAAGGACTCCTGGCTGAACTGCTCTGAGGGACAGGAGACCCCTGGGGGTTCTGTTCAAGCGACCACAACTCGTCCTGGAGAAGCGAAGATCTGGTAAACTGGGAGCCATCTGTTTGGCTGAGCTTGGGCTTCCAAGTAGTTCTTGGCCTGTGCTCCAGATACATGCTGAAAGCCAAACTGGTTTGAAGGGAGTCTCGGCACTTCTAGTGATTTCTTCCTTAACACCTCCCTCATGAGGAGGGAGAGAGCTGAATTTCAGAAGTACCCTTGAAGGCGGGTCTAGGGACGGCATGTAAGCTTTCAAATGACACAGATCCACAACCAAACAAAACAAGCTTTAGCTCAAAATAACTGTGGAACTTGTGTGTTGCACAGACAACCACCAATCCCCCTCTTCATCTTTCGTTGTATTGAATACGAGAGCCTTCAGAAAGAACATGGAATTAAAAGATAATCATGTTGGTGCAAAAATAATGCTTTCAAATCCATGCCTTGCTTTCCTCGTTGTCTGTGAATGTTTTGAAGATCCCTCAGAAAGCTCAAATGAGGCTTTGGATTAAGGACGTCACTCAACTTCTTCTCGCACACTCTGAACGTTTTCTAAGGGTCAGAAGCAATAGAGAGGTAAAGGCGGACCTGCTGCCTCAAAGCAGCTCCCGTTTCCCGCAGTGGGGGTGGTACAACCACTGCCTGCAGCTCTGTCACCAGATAGGGCTTGAAAGGCTGTGCCAACAGCGTGCAGGTTGTGTAATGGGATCTGCGAGGTCAGGTCCCATGAGCATCCCCTGGAAGGGTGAGGGCACACACCACAGGTGGGGTGATCCTTGAGCTGGGATTGGGAGAACCGTGGGGAGGCCCTATTCTGTCCGATGCTGGGGCAGCCGCCGTGTTTTCTAATTGGAGGAGCCACACCAGAAGGCTGGCGACAGGAAGAGCTAGCGTCAGTATCAGGTCAAGTGTAGCTGACACAAAGAAAATACACGCTGGGTGCCAGGCGACGAGAAGAAAGGAGTTAGATCCGCCAAGGACACAAAGACGGAGCGCGTGACACGGAGTTTGTGCAGGTGGCACAGGTCAGCCTGTGACACGTGCGTGTCGGCAGGGGCTCGAAGGCTGGCGGAGTGCCAAGTCTGATGGTGGAGAAGAGATGGGTTCAGGTGTGAGCTGGTGCCCAGGGCCTTGGGCGGTAACTGCCAGCTTCCAACTCGGGATGGAGAAAGCCAGCCCGGCTCCCCTCTCTAGTGGGTCAGGGGCTCCCTGGCTGCCTCTGAAACCATGCCCCTTCCCACGGCGGCGTTGGCCCACCCATCTTCTGATGGCGAGTCCCCACCGAGCAGAGGTGAAGGGGCCGGCTCTGACAACTCCCCGTGCTGGGTCTCCCTCTTCGACTCCTACCTGCGTCACAACGGAACTTGGCACCCATCATCTCAGCTCCTCCGCGCCTGGGGAACCACAAAGAGCTCAGCATGGGAAGCTGTGCGTTGCGTTTGCAGGAGCCCTGGGCGGTGCCCGTCCCTTCTCACCGTGGAGCCGGCGCCTGGCTGACTTCCAGCTGTCAAAGCTCTCCCTGGCAGCTGGAATTTAAACACTCTGCGCTCTGCTCCCCCCCCCCCAGCACCACAGAAGCAATGGCTGAAGGCAGCTGGTGTATTAATATCCCAGATCCCTCACCCATCCCATGACACAACTCTGAAGCATGCGTTTGCCCCAACCCTCAGAGGCCCCGGCGGGATTAAGCTACGGTTACTCACGGCGCAGCCGGCTGGACGTCAGCTCCCTGTCCGGTCAGGCTCACTTCGCCATTTCCCTCCCAGGGTTTCCTGAGCTCAGCTCCCAGGGAAATGACTTGCTCTCAAATCCCTTCTCTAGGGCCTGCACCTGTGGCAACCCGAGACCACGCAGTGGTAGATTTAGAAACAGCTTTAAAGGACCTCACCTGCTACAGCAGACCCAGTGGTCATCCCTGCCACCCCAGTCACTGATGTATGTAGGTGGGAAACGGTAAGAAAGACAAAAGGAGGAAAAACCGGTCAGCCCATTTACAATTTTCAAGAATAACACGCATCTACTTGGTTCATTACCATTTTTTTAAGGTAAGCTGTATCACTCCATGCTACTTAAAATGTTTGACCTTCAAAACCGGAGGTCATGGCAAGCATTGGGGCAGTGGTTACGATGCTGCCTGAGATGCCCACATCCATGTCACAGTGCCTGGGTCCAAGCTCCACTGCTGATTTTACCTTCCTGCTAATGAGTACCCGGAAGTCAGCAGATGATGGCTCAAGTAGGTGGCTTCCTGCCATCCCCAGGGGAGATGCAGGTAGAGTTCCTGGCTCCCGGCTTGAGGAGGCTCCTCCCCCGCTGATCCCAGCTGAGTATCTGGAGAGTGAATCAGCAGGTGGATGCTCTCTTTCTGTCTGCCTTTCAAATAAATTTTTTTAAAGCTAGAGGTAAAAGGTGACAATGCAACAATGAACGACAGAATCAGTAGTAAAATAGCAAGGTGGCAGAGTGGGACCTCTTTGCAGGAAGTGGAAGAACATGCACAGGCATTCTGTAGATGGAGAAGGTGGTAGATGTGGTAGATGGAGAAGGGCTGTACCGTTAGTGAAGCAGAAAAGCACGTGGTGTGTTAGCAGCGGTTCGCGGATGTTTTAGGCTCAGGAAAAATTCATTTTGATGCATTTTCATAATTTGTACTGAAAAAAATTGTTGAGAGGGCTGTCGTTGGATCTAACAGAATACTGGTTTAGGGCACCAGTATCCCACGTCAGAGTTGGAGGTGGAGTCTTGGCTTTGGCCCCTGGCCGCAGCCGACTGCTAAGGCACACCCTGAGAGGCCGCGGTGATGTGGCGATGGCTCAGGTGGTTGGTCCCTGCCACCCACAGGACACTAAGTTCCCGGCTCCTGGCTTGGTGCAGCCCAGTCCCAACTCCGGCAGGCGTCTGGGGAATGAACGAGCAGATGGGTGTTCTCTCTCTGCCTCTCAAATAAAAGAAGCACATTGTTGAGGATTCCAGTGAACAGTGCTTTGCGGTTTACATTTATTTGTGTTTACTGTATTATAAATGAAAACTAAGAACTTTGAAGTATCTAGTAGTGCATATCATAAATAGCAGCCGCAAACAATAATCAACACATTTTTATAAAAAGCCGAACTATGCTTTCCCAGTGTCCACCCCCAGTTTTCACTGAGTAGACGGCCGTTGGGTAACACTTCCGTGGCTCTCTTTGGTGTCCAGCCCGCTGAGGACAGCGGGGTTCTCAGGCCTTCAGTGTCGCATGTGGTCTCTGGAAGGCTCCAGCTTCCGTTCACGAGAACAGAAAACGAAGCAAGCAAATCCCAGCTCAGTATTATTGTGTGCTGGTTTTGATCCGTGAAGCCCCTGAACAGGCCTTGGGGATGCCCAGGGCCCCTGAGTCCAGGGGACGAGCGGCAGCATGAGGCAGAGAGCACACAGCCCTGGCGCACGTGGACGTCAGGGGAGGCACAGACTGAGGACCACAGTGTGGCCTTGGCCTTCTGCATCTTCCTAAGCATCCATTTGCTGACAGAACCTTCCATGTCCTTATATGGCAGTGATACCCTCTCGGTAAGTGACAAGCCACCCGCACCTGTTGCTCAAGCTCTTCCTGTTGCTATTTGTGGTCGTGTCCACGCGTACCCTGGTCGCCAGGCTGGGTATTTTCCAGCTGGACGTTAGCACCAAGGCTGGGGGACGTCCCAGTGGCCAGGAGGGAGGTGTGCAGAGACCTGAGCAACACCCAGGCCTCAGAGCAGGACAGATTTCCACGTGGCCAGGGCTTTCCGGCACTGTCATCTCTCAGCGGATCACTCATTTCTTTGCTGGGATCCCTGGAGCAAAGTCAAGGTTCTTCCTCACTCCCAGGCAGGAGTTTGGGCCCCACACATCGCAATGTGCAGTGGGATTCTCTTTGCTGGGCACCCCATCTGTGGTTCCGTTTTTGTTCCAGGCTGGGCACAGGGGACAGGACACTGTCTATGTGCCACACTCTTCAAGAGACCTTTTCTAATTCGAAAACTGTAGAGATGAAGTGCATGACAGCGACAAAGCCACAAGAGGAACGAAGCCGCCTAGGCAGGGGGGTGGGGAGCACGGGGTGGCTTCGGGGGAAGAAGTGAGAGTCTGAGGTTGACACAGATGGGATTTGAACTTCACTAAGAAAGTTTCAGCAAACACAACCGAATGTGACATTTGTAAATTCTGGGTAAGGGCAAATATAGAGCTTAAACCCAAGCCTTAGTTCTCCCTGTTGAAAGCGAGAGAAGAGATCAACCCGCCCTTTTCTGAAAGCTTTCCTTGTTTCTCTGCCCTTTGGGATGGACGTGAATCTTGCCAGCTTTATAACCCAGGGCCTGAGATCACTTTGAAACCCCAGTGTAACCATCGAGGACGCCCCTGCCCCTTCCTCTGGGGCCCTGTGGGACAAGAGTCCAACTTCTGCAGGCAGGCAAGTTTGCTCCAGATAGCAGTGCCGCCTCTTCTTGTGCACATCTGAAAGGTTTGTTTTTCCTTTGTATAAAACCAGTGAACAAAGCCGGTGAGTGCAGGGTGAGCGAGGTGCGGCCCAGGGGTGCTGCCTCCTCGTATGTGAGGGCCCTTCTGTCCATCCTGAGAAGGCGCACGTGTTAAAGGCTGTGTCTGCCCTGCTGTAGAACAGGGAGACTTCCTTCTGTCGCACGGCCTCAGAACGCCTGTGACTGCCGGTCACGTTCAAGTTAACGCCTGCTCAGTAATCACACTGTCTTCCCTGGCTACTGACTTTGGGAAGAGGCTCCTTTGGTTGGGAGAAGATTCTGTAGTCAACTCCATTTCTCCACCATGTGTTGGTTATATTATTCTGTGCTTTCCTGTATTTTTTTTTTTCAAATTACAAAGAAAAAATATATTCACGGAAAACTTCGGGAAGATGCTGTCCATGTTCATCTGGTGCTGCATTCCCTTAGCTGCTATCACTTTTTTGCCCATGGACTTAAATGAGTAAAGCAGTTTTCACAGTTCATATTGAGATCTTAATATAAAATGCATGTTTAAAA